GCGTGTTTCTTTGCCTCCCCATTTTGCCTGCCTTTTGTGTGTCTTTGTGTATTCGGTAGTTTTGCTATCATTCCCAAACCTCTTATCATGGCTTTGTGATGAGGTGTCTTGTGGGACTCAGTAGCAAAATCTTTCTTGTTAACTGAGGTAGATATTCTTGGAATGTTTCTTGTGTGTTAGTTTGCCCTCTTGTTGTAGTTGAGTCTTAAATGCTGTTGACTCACATGTGGGTAGAGTTAAATTTCAGGTGGTTTGATTATAAGGGTAGAGCTCTGTCACTGTGCATGTGTCACTGTGCATGGGCTGCCCCACAAGTTGAATCTGTGCCCAGCAGGGCCTGGTGCCTACTGAAATCCCCCTTTAAGTATGCTAGTTGTGTGGCTAGTTGGGTAGAGCTCTGGTGTGGTCTGAAGGTCACCTTTTGTTGTGCTGGTTCTGGGTCTGCTTGGGCCAGATCTGGTGCAGGTCAATGTCAGATGTTGTATGTAACGTGTTTTGGGCTACCATTCTGGAGAGCTACCATGCTGCTCACTCTTTGTGACTGTATCTACTAGGCCTGGATATGTATTGGAAAGGTCATACTGTGTATGAGGGTCAGCTTCCTGCAGCTCTGAGCTGGGGACATATCAATACAAAGTGCAAGGCATTCTGAGGTCCACTTCCATCTGTTGGCTACTCTGCCTTTCAGTGAAATTGCCTGGACTTGCTCTTTCTCTAGAGCCTTCTGAACAAAAACTGTAATGTGGGCCCAGGCCAGCCACAACCCACAGACTTTTCCACAAGGTGCAAGTTCAGTAGATAGGTTGACTGGGGTCAGGAGGGTGGTGGGGACAGCATGGTTGGTCTCTCAGTGGGCGCTAGGGAGTGCCACTACTCTAGAGCCATACCACTTAGTCTCTGCTAGAGTCTCAAACTCTAGCTCCTCCAGAAGCAGCACACTGCAGGTTTAGGTTGGGTGGAACAAGCCATCCTCCTTGCAGGAGCAAACTCAGCAGAGCAGAGTCACTGAAACTGTGAAGGACTGATCAAAAGAGTCTCCTGTTTTGGTTGGTGCTAACCTGAGATGCAGGAGGGAAGCAAGTACTTTGCCTCTCCCCTTCTTCACAGTCGCGGCCATCTGAATCCTGGACAGGAGCCTCTGAGGGAGACACGCTCTGAAGTTCCCAGCTCTGAGCAGCACTCCCTATCTTCATAATTTTTATTTGGTAAAAAGAAAAGGTGAGTCTTTGGGGCCTAATTAATAGACAAAATATTAATTTTTCTATCACCTATATCCTCTTCTATCACCAATTGCCCCACCAAAACTTCATTTGCCCACTCATTGTATTCTAATCCCCAAAAAGGCTTGGTTAGTTCCCGAAATTGGGCATCCAGGCATGGCCTATGATTCTAAACAAAAAACAACTTGTCAAATAACCATAAGGTATTCATCACATACAAGCAGTAACAATATAACCACCAGAAAGTTATATTTCCAAAGACATCCCCAAAATTAAAGTGTTGCCCCAAGTTGCTAGTATTGTCAAAGTTAAAAGTAATTATGACAAACTTCATACTTTTGAGTCAGTCAGTATAATTTTCTTCTAAGGAAACAAAATAACTAGTTGTTTATTTGGTAAATTTATATTATTTAGTTACTATTTTATAACATTGATCTATAGCCTTTTGATTGGGAAAATTATTGGATTTGTGCATCTGTCCAGTTCATTACAGAATCCTCAGCACCCTGTGCCTCCATCCATTAAATGCTCGTACTGCACCGTATTTATTGTAACAACCAAAAATGCCCCTACATATTTCTACATATGCCTTGGCAGGACTCAGCTATTACTTTGCATAAACATGACATGATATCATAAAAATGTACCACTAGAAATGTATCTTAAAGTTGAGTGTTTGATTTTATGCATTTCCAATTTTAAACTTAGATACAGTAAATTACCTTAAATATTTCATTGTTTTACTCTTATTGATGTGTAATATGCATATTCTACTCCAACAGTGAAGCTGTAAAGACTACAATTTGATGAATTTTTACCTATATATACACCCATATAATCATCATCCAGGTTAAATTTTGAGAATTTCTAACACCTCAGAAATATTCTTTATAATCCATAGACACATATGATGATGTGTGGTGATGGTCTAAGGGAAGGGGTAATGAGGGCTGGGTGGAGGTGGGCAAATGGGGGAAAATGAGTACATCTGTAATAGTGTAAATAATAAAAATAGCTATAAAAAGAGAAGAAATATCCTTTATGTCCCTTCCCAATCAACTTCCTTTCAAAGGTAACCACTAATCTGGCTTCTAACAGCCTTGCCTGTATTTGAAACTCACAACAAAAGAATGATAATATGCTTGACTTAGGGTGCTGAACACACAATACAATACACAGATGATGTATTATATAAAATTGTATACCTGAAACCTATATAATTTTATTAACCAATGTCACCCCAGTTAATTCAATAAAAAAGAAACAGACACCTTTTAATTATGATGTTTCTTCGTATGGGCCTGTTTGGGTTCATCTTATTTGGGACTTTGTGTACTTCCTGGACTTGTGTGTCTTTTTCCTCCACCAGGTAATGGAAATTTTCTCTCATTATTTCTTCAAACAGGGTCTTGATCTCTTGCTCTCTCTCTTCTTCTGGTACCCCTATGATGCAGCTGTTGTTATACTTCACATTGTCCCAAAAGTTCCTCTAACTATCCTCATTTTTAATATTCCTTTTTCTTTTTGGTGCTCTGATGGTGTGTTTTCTGATACCTTGTCTTCCAAATTACTGATTTAATTTTCTGCTCTATCCAATCTATTTTTTATTCCTTCTAGTGTGTTTTTCATTTCAGATATAGCATTCTTTGTTTCTGACTTGTTCTTTTTTATGGTTCCATATCCTTTTTCATGCTGTTGTAGTTCTCACTAAGTTCCTTGAGCATCCTAATCATTTTTTTTACCTCTATACCTGGTAGATTGCTTGCCTCCATTTTACTTAGGTCTTTTTCTGGAGATTTCTCCTGTTCTTCCATTTGGGGCATGTTTCTTTGTCTCCCCACTTAGGCTGCCTTTTTCTGATTTTTCTTTATGTGCAAGGTAGATCTGCTCTGGGGTCTTGGTAGGGTGGCTCTGACAGGATACCTTATGTAGTAGGTATCCTGTCAGATCCAATGGTGCAGTCTCCTTGATCACCTAAGCTGGGTGCTCCAGAAATGTCCCTTGTGTGGATTATGTGAGCCCTCCTGTTGTGATTGAGTTTTTATTACTATTGGCCTGTACATGCATGGGTTCAACCTTCAGGCTTGCTAACTGTGAGGATCAACTCTGACCACAGTGTGCCAGCTGCTGTATAGCTACTGACCACACTATGTGGAACTCTCCTCAGTAGAGTCTGGTGCCTGCCAACATATGCCTTTGGGTATGCCTCTTGTGAATCTAATTGGATCCTGTCCTAATGTTGTCTGCAGCTGGCCACTGGATGTGTTGGTTCTGGGCCTCTTGGGAGGGACTGTGGTACAGTCCAATGTCAGATGCTGCCTGTGACTGGCCCTGGGCATTCTTTTTGGAGCAGTCTTGATGTGTCTTCATTTTTTCTTTAATTTTTTTATCCTCACCTGAGGACATTGTTAAAAAAGATTTTATTTTGTTTTTTTTTTTTAGAGAGGGAGGAAGGGAGGCAAAAAGAGAGGGAGAGAAATTTCAATGTGTTGTTGCCTTTTGTGTGCCCTGTGCTGAGGACCCGACCTGCAACCGAGGCATGTACCCTGACGGGGAATTGAGCCAGTGACCCTTTGGTTTACAGGCCAGTGCTCAATCCACTGAGCCACACCAGCCAGGGCTTGATGTGTCTTCATTTGTAAATCCTTGGTTATAAGACTTCTGTTCTGCTAGTCTTCAGTTGGTTATTCAGGTTGATTGTTCTATATTTTGTTTGTAATTCCACTTTGGTCCTACAAGTAGGTGAGTGTAGCTTCCACTTACTCCAGTACCATCTTGAGTCTCAAAAATAGACTTTTAATAACTTATTACCATCTAGCACTTTTACACCAACTTGTGAAATAGGTATATTGCCTCTATTTTATAGATGAATAAACTTAAACTGAGTGTCTGATTTTTAAAAGTGATTTTTTTAAACTATTAAGTGGAAGAGATGAGATTTAAACCCAGAAAGTCTGGACACAGATCAAATCCTTCTCTTTTTCACTTTGCAGGCCAGCACTCAATTCACTGAGACATGCCCGCCAGGACCAAATTTCTTAAACTGTGAAAATTTCTAAACTTCTACTCATTTGCAAGTTTAGAATATGTAGATAATATAACAAGCAGTCTCATGCAGATTCTACAAAAGTGTCACTTATGAAAAACATTTACAACTTAATAACAAGCATGTTAATCATCAGTAGGGTCCTGTCAGCAAGGTGTCACACATCTGTATGCAATATCATATTGTGGTGTAATGGAGTGGAAAAGGCACAAGTCTTGGAGTAAGGTGAACTAGGTTTGTGTCTTAGTTTTGCTTCTTACTAGTTGAGTGAGTAAAAATCTCAAGTTACTTAATCTAAGTTTTTTTTATTTATAAAACAATACCACTTAGCACACAGAGTATGAATATTGAGATAAAAACCAGATAAGATAATTGAGATAAATATCTAGAGAAAGTTATAAGCCTAATAGGTACCTGAGCTTCAAGGATAAGTAACAAATATTTTCTTCAAAATAATTAGCCCTGGCTGGTGTAACTCAGTGGATTTAGTGCCAGCCTGCAAAGAAAGGGATTGCTGGTTTGAGTCCCAGTCAAGGCACATGCCTGGGTTGCAAGCCAGGTCCCCAGTAGGCGGTGTGAAAGAGGCAACCACATATTAATGTTTCCCTCTTTATCTCCGTCCCTTCCCCTCTAAAAATAAATAAAATAAAATCTTTAAAATAAAATTATTCTTGTTGTTTTTAAAATTTTTGTGAACTTTGGAAAACAGTCTTGTTTCTTACTTCTGCTTTCAGTTCCACTTATCCTATACAGACAAGGAGCGCTATGAAAATGAAGAGAGACCTGAGGTCCAAAAGCAGATGCTTGTTGATATTGCCAAGAAGCTACCAGTCTACACAAGAACCGGGAGTGGAGGTCAGTTCATCCAAAGTCAACTAGAGAGGTAGATGAGCAGAAAGTTTAAGTCATCTATATCCTCAATCTAGCCCCTTTTTTCTCTTCTCTTCTGAAAAACACTATGGAGTCTTTCTCAACATTTTATTATAAAAGATTTCAAGCATACATCTAAGATGAAAAAATTATATAATAAACATTTGTATACCTACCACTGCAGTCTACCACTAACATTTTACTATATTGCTTTATCACACATCTGCTAAGAAACCCATCCCTCAATCCATCATTGATAAAGCCACCTTATTTTGGGTACATTTTAAGGTAAATAGCAGATATCAGTACAAATCTTCCTAAATATTTTACCATTTGGGGGATCTAAAATATACATGTATATGTAAAAACATGCACAAGTTGTAAGTGTACCATTCAGTGTTTCTTTAAAGGTACACATTTGTGTAACAAAAACTTCTATAAACATTGCTACATCCCATAATGTTCTCTCATACTCCTTCCTGGTAAATCCCACTAAACACAACCACTGTTCTGATATTTGTATACCAGATTGGTTTTATCTGCTGTAAGAATTTTGTATAAATGGATTTATACAGTACTTTCTGTTTTGCCTGCCTTATTGTATTCAGCATAATGCTTTTCAGACTTATTCACATGATTGTGTATTTCATTTCCTTTATTATTGAGTAATATTTCATTGTATGAGTATATCATTGTTTATTTAATCATCCATTAGTGTATATTTGGGTGTTTTTTTCTGGTGCTTAGATATTATGAGTTAACCTGCTATGAACATTCTTGTGCAAGTATTTGTGGAGAGATGTCTTCATTTTTCTTGGGTAAATATGCACTGCTTTATTCACTACACCCTATTCCCTGGATCCTTGAAGCATTTGTTTGCAGCCCCCAGGATACAGAGTAATAGAAGGCTTTCCAAAGAAATGTCATTTGACCTGAGACTGGAAAATAAAAAGGAACTGCAAAATACAAAAGGTCCTGGGAAAGAAGCAAGCTTGCATTATTAGAAGAAAAGACAGACATCGACTGTGGCTGGAGGAGGGTGATACAAGTTAAGGTTGAAGAGTCAGTCTAAGGCCAGATGATGCAGACCATATTAAGGTGTTGGGACTTCATTTAAAGATTTTGCTTATTTATTTTCAGAGAGAAGGGGTAAGAGAGAGAGAAAGAGAAGGAAACATCAGTGTGTGAGAGAGACATCAATCTGTTGCCTGGCACACAACTGGGCCAAAACCCAGGCCTGTGCCCTGACTAGGAATCAAACTGGCAACCTTTTGGTTTGCAGGCTGGCACTCAACCCATGAAGCCACACCAGCCAGAACAGGAGTTGGGATTTTCATTGTAAGGGTTTTGGAAGTCTGTTGAAAGTTTTAAGTGAAGAATGATATGATCTGATTTACATTTTAATAGATCACCTGTCTCTTGTGTAGAAAATATATGTAAGGCGTGGGGAAAGAATAAAAGCAGAGTGAAAAATAGGCAGCAACTATTGCAGTCATCTAAGTGAGAGATGATGGTGGCTTACACTGGGCAGTACCTTTGACTGTATCTTTAAAAACAGTCAGTCAAGAGAAAGAAATAGGCATCCAAATTAGGAATGAAGTGTCACTGTTTGCAGATGACATAATTCTTTATATACAGAACCCAAACCATAAAAACAATAAACAAATACAGTGAAGTTGCAGGATACAAAATCAATGTGCAAAAATCCACTGCATTACTATATACTACTAATAATGAAATTTCAGAAAAAGAAATGAAAATAACAATTCCTTTTGCAATTGCAACAAAAGAACAAAATACCTAGGAATAAACTTAAGAAAAGATGTGAAGTACCTATATACTGAAAGCTACAAAGCATTATTACAAGAGATTGAAAAAGATGCAATGAAATGGAAAGATATTACCTGTTCATGGATTGGAAGAATCAACATAGTTGAAGTGTCCATATTACTCAAAGCAATATACAAATTTAATGCAATTCACATTAAAAGACACACACAGACCAGTGGGATAGAATTGAGAGCTCATAAATAAAACCACATGTATATGGACAAATAATTTTTGACAAAAGAGCCAAAAACATACAATGGAGAAAAGAAAGCCCCTTCAATAAATGGAGATGGGAAACTTAGAAAACAACATGCAAAAGAATGAAATGACTAGTTTGTCCCCTTTTACAAAAATCAATTCAAAATGAATCAAAGAACTAAATAAGACATCAGACACAATAAATTGCATAGAAAAAATTATAGGTACTACATTATGGACCTTGGTCATAGAAAAAAATTTATGGATTTGACCCCAAACACAAGGGAAATAAAGGCAAAAATAAATGGGCAGGACTATATCAAACTAAAAAGCTTCTGTACAGCAAAAGAAACCACCAACAAAACAAAAAGACAACCAACAACAAGAGGTTACCATCCAAATATGTAAAGAACTCACATGACTCAACACCAAACAAGCAATCCGATTAGAAAATGGGCAGAGGAGTTGAATGTACAAATTGGAGGTTACAAAATAGTCATGAGGATGTAAAGTACAGCACAGGGAATATAGTCAATTAATGTTGTAATAACTACGTATGGTTTCAGGTGGGTACTAGAATTGTCAGGGTGACCACCTTGCAAGGTATATAATCACTATGTTGTACGTCTGAAAGTAATATAATATTATATATCAACTGTAATTGAAAGATTAAAAAAATTTTAAAAAGTGAATGCCTTTTATGTAATGGAAATAAAGTAAGAAAGGAAAGAGAGAGGAAAGGACTTATCAGACTTAGAGTAAAGAGAACCTGAACTATGGGTTCAGGAAAACTACTGGTCACAGCCCTGCCATTCACTCAGTGTGTGACCTTGTATAATTCACTTGGTTTGACTCAGGTCTTTACTTCTGTTATCTGTGAAATGATCACTTGATGTAATTGTTCTAGAATGTCTCTTCTATTCTTCAAATTGTTATAATGATAAGAACCAACATATTTACCATGCTTTATGAATTTATGTCATGGAATAAAGCCCCTGGAATCAGAAGATAAAGTATGAATCCTACTTTTAGTTGAAGTAAACAGAGGCTAAATGATTTTCCCAAGATCGCTCAAGCAGTTGACAGCATGGTTTATTTTATAATACAAAATGTTATAATTAGATATATTATCTTATCCTAAGATAAGAAAATTTTCCCCTTACCACCATCCCCAAAAAGTACTTTCAAGATTTATATAATACAACATGCTCCTTCTTTCTCTCTTTGAGTATGCCTGAGCCTTTCCCCACCCCCTGCTTTTCTCTCTCCCCTATCTTCACCCCCTCTCCCTCTCTCTGGAGCACGCCCACACCTTTCCTCATCTTCTTCCCCTAGGTGTGTGTGTTACCTTTGAGCGCTCATGCCTGTGCTTGCTCACATGCGCTTGTGCGTGCTCTCTCTCTCTCTTTCCCCTAAACTCTAAAGAGCCCTTTTTTGCCTCTGTAAATTGTTTCCTGAGCTGGCTCACTTTTTCTACCTCTGTAAACTTCTAAATAAACTATCACTTGTATTTAAAAAAAGAAAGATTGGTACAACAGGAAAAAATACACACCGCAATTCTCTTATGCAATCTGTTTTTTACTTGATAACTTGACATGAGTTTGACTACCTATAATCAGTGTACAGCAAGCCATTCAGATAGGCTAGAAAGATACAGGATATCACACTGAGACCTAATCAATGCTAACCACCTTATTTTTCCTATAGCTGTAAGATTCTGTGACCGGTGCCATTTGATCAAGCCAGATCGCTGCCACCACTGCTCTGTCTGTGCTATGTAAGTGACAGCCATATTTCCCCTAGACTGAGCTTAGCCATTGATGGCATTGTCTAGACAACAATCTGACTGATCTTAAAATGTAACCATTCCTAAATAAAAAAATTTCCTATCAATCATAATGAGTACATGCCAAACACCCTCACGGGGTGATGATTCAAACTATTCTAAGGACACATGGACAAAACCAAGGGTGGGGGTGGAAGGAAGGGAGGGAGGTGGGTTTGGTTGGGGTAGGGGGTAGGGGTCAGGGGTAAATGCAGACAACTTTAATTGAACAACAGTAAAGTAGTTAAAAAAAAAACTATTCTAAGGATAGGAAAGAAAAGTCAGACCCCATTTTAAATTAAACATTTTATTGTAGAGCAGTTTTAGAGTAATAGAATTATTAATAAAGATAGTTCTCATATGTCCCACACAAAGTTTCCTTACTATCAATATCTTATATTAATATGGTAAATTTGTTACAATTAATGAACAAATATTTATACATTATTTTTTTTACTGAAATCTATACTCTATTTTGATTTCTTCAGTTTTCCTCTAGTGTTCTTCTGTTCTAACATCCCATTCAGGACACCACATTACAGTTAGTTGTCATGTCTTCTTGGGCTTCTCTTAGCTGTGACAGTTTATCAGACTTTATTTATTTTTTTAAGATTTTATTTATTTCTTTTTACAGAGGAGGAGGGAGGGAGAAAGAGAGGGAGAGAAACATCAATGTGTGGTTGCCTCTTGAGCACCCCCTACTGGGGTCTTGGCCTGCAACCCAGGCATGTGCCCTGGCTGTGAGTTGAACCTGTGACCCTTTGATTTGCAGGCTGGCACTCAATTCACTAAGCCACACCAGCCAGGGCTTTACTTTTTTTATGACCTTGACAGCTTTTAGGATTATCAGGTTTTTGGAGAATATACTTCAGTTGGCATTTTTCTCAAGAATAGACTTGGGTAATGTATTTTGAGGAGGAAGACCACAGAGATATAGTGCCATTCTCACTGCATCATATCATAGTATAACATGATATGATATCATAGTACATAGTATAAACATGACTTATCACTGTGATGTTAATCTTGATCATCTGGCTTGAGATAGTATTTGTCAGATATCTCTACTACAAAGTGACTCTCTCCCGCTTTCCAAACTGTACTCTTTGGAAGGAAGTCACTAAAGGACTGAATTATACCCCCCTCCTTGAAGGCAGAGTATCTACATACGTTATTTTGAATTCTTCTGTATGGGTTATTTGTCTCTTCTTCATTTATTGATTTATCCAATCATTTATTTATGTCATTATGTAGGTATGGATAATTATTTTATATTTTGTGTTATAGCTCAGTACTACTTTGTATTGTTACTCAAATTGCTTCAGCTTTGTAAAACCCCATTTTTATGTTAATAAATATAATCATCATGTCTTTCTTCTTTCTTGGGTACTTGTTCCACCTGTATTTATTTCACCCTTGATTTAAACACAGATTGTACCCATATATCTTCTTCTGTACTTTCAGTAAACTAAGTACTGAGCAAAATGAAGGGTGATATCTTAGACTTCTCTGTATCAATATCTTGGAATTCACAATCCCTTTTAAAGGTTGGACTTTTAGGCATGTAACTTGTTACCAGCATGATCCTATGAATTGTTGTGATTGGCTAATCATAGGAAGAACTGAAAACACAGTAGTTTTAGAGTAGCTATAGGTACTGGCATCATGTACAAAATACTGGTGAGACCTTGAGTTCAATTACGAGGTGCTGCTTCATTTCCATAGCCCTACTCATCACACTATATTTTACTCCTTTTTTAGGTGTGTATTAAAAATGGACCATCACTGCCCTTGGTAAGTCCCTTTTATTTAATTATTTCCTCTAAAAAGATCAAAGTTACTCTATATGCCTACTTTACTAAGCATAGTTGTAACATGCCTGATTCTGCTATTCATTGGTCTTTTTATGTGTGGGAGGAACAGGGGGCTTAACATTTTAAAGCAACAGTGAATATGCCACCAAAGGCATGGTAGTAAATTCCTGTGGTCACAAAGTTAATGGTCTCTTGTCCATTAGCTTTAGTAATTAGGCATAGTAATGAAATAGAACACAAATAGTTTTTCTCTTTGACATTACACAATCAGTTCTGGGTTTTTTGTTTTGTTTTGTTTTTTTGCTGTCTTGATATTTGAAATACTCTGGATTGTTAAGCAATTCTTCAAATTTCTCTCTCTGATCTAGAGAACCAGTCTGAAATCACGTAAATATAAAGAGAACATGCCACACTGTACTAAGTGTAGTTGCTAAGATTTTAATATGTCTTCAGCATCCAAAATCTAGGTTTGCTTGGATGTGTCAGGAACCAGTCCAGAATGATTAGAATGGCCAGGTGTCTCTGTGCCTGCAAATGAAAGTAGAAAAATGAGAGATGAACTTGTCTTTCCAATCTGTTCCTCTCAAGGGACTTTGTTTCTGTTGAGTTCCTACGCAACACATAATGAAATATCAGGAGCAACATACTTCCATTGCTTAATTCACTTATGTATCAGTGCGTTCTCAATAAATGGGTCCTGATTTCAAATTAGTTTTTCTTTTTTTTTTTAGGGTTAATAATTGCATTGGATTTTCCAACTATAAATTCTTCCTTCAGTTCTTAGCTTATTCTGTTCTCTACTGCCTGTACATTGCTACAACGGTCTTCAGCTATTTCATCAAATACTGGAGAGTAAGTTTAAAAATCCTGAAGCCCCCCGCCCCCCGCAAAAACAAACAAACATACACCTACTCCAGTCTGTGACATTGTTCAACTTATTTTTTTTTTACATTTTTAAATAGCTAATATGGAAGTTATCAGAAGAGAAGATACCAAAAGCAAGTTTCCCATGTTGAATATTCTGTGATGGAGGAGATTGAAAGATTCCCATTGAACAATTTTTTGTCATATATGAGAATTTTTTTAAGGCCTTTAGGAACCTGAACTCTTGACTTTTACTGATTCTTTACAATGTACTTCTCTAGTCAAGTTTTAAAAATGAACATCTTACCAATCATAGATTTGAGAAATATTGAAACAAATTCTACATCCTTAGTTTCTTAAGAAAAAGGGGTAACAAAGTACTCCCTCATTGTTAGAAAATAATTTCTAATTCCTTATTCAAAGGAGAGTTTCAAAATTCCTACTGGAAAGAAAGATACATCGGCTCATCTTCACATATGACTAAAATGAAATGAGGAGTCTTATTTGGACTTTGTATAGCTGGAGTTCTAATACTGGCTCTGTTACCTACTTCATTGGCTCATTGACAAAATCAAGTAAAATAGATGTTGAAAGCACTCTACTTTTCAAAATATGATTCCAATAATTATAATGAAATCTAAAAAAAATCCTACTTTCATCTTTCTTGTACTTGAAGATACCAATCATACCCCATTTGTTTCCAAAAGAATTGAAGGCAGATTTTCAGTTTACACATGTGTACAGGGTCTGGCAGAAATATAGTCAAACATGTTGTTTTGTTTCATGCCAGCAGACTCCAGAAGACATGACCTCCACACAACTCGAGTGCAATTACAAAGACATCATAACCTTCCAGGAAGAGAATTGTCCAAACTGAACCTGAATAACAAAAGATGAATGTAGGCAGAGCTACTAGTTATTGTTTTAGGAATTAAACTAGAGCCTGTATAACAGGAATATCTCACATCAGGTAGAGATGTAAAGCAGCAGGGAAAGAACATGAATCCTGTGACCAGAATGTGGATTATAATAAACTGGAGGAAAAAAGGGAGAAAAGCAAGGCAGTGAAAGCCTAAGTAACCGAGAATATTTAAATTGTTAAATAGTGATTCATTCCTACTAATATAGGAAATATAGTATAGAAATTTATAGTGATATGTGTTCTCCATTCTCCCATCCGTTCACTTAATCAATTCAGATATTTAATAACTTTGAGAATTAGGAATGATATAATGGATATCAAAATCCTTAACTAAGAGACACAAAAGTATAAGCAGAAATGAAGTGTTCTCATCAATTTTGTATTTTCCCCAAATTCAAAATGTGTCATCATCTTGGTTTTTCTTCATTGGCCCTTTTCCACAGCACAAGTTCTCTTATCTAGTGCTCGTTTTTATGACATGTTTGGCATTTTATTCATACACTGAGCCCTGAAAGTAAACAAAATCTACTGCATCCAGTTCAGCCTTAGTCTTCACTACAGACTTTACTGGCCCTTAACACAGTAAGCTACTATTTAAGAATTTCTCTGTACTCTCACAGCAGAGTAAACAACACATTTTGTCTTTGGCATTCCTAATCATCCAACAATCAAATACCAAAATGCCAGCCAGGTGCCATATGGTTTTTTGTTTTTTACTCTTGAAAGATAATATTTAGATATGAATCAATCACCAGAAATATGTCAATATTCACAAGCACTATCAGGACTGAACATAGCCTTGTCCTTTCCTATGCCTTTATTTCTTCTCCGTAATATGCTAGCTCATGCCTGACAGATGAGAGGCAAAGAAACCTGTCTTGGCTTGCCTTCATAATGAAAATGACATTGACAGTTCAGAGAAATGCTTCTTTGCAGTTTCTCCAGCCAGAGAGCACTTTAGTGTGGTTTACAGATGGCTTTTTCAGTGTAAATCGGGTCTCCTTTAAAATGAAAAGTAAACACTGCCATTTATTTTAAAAGCTATCATATCAAGGAAACTAGCTGTGCTCCTAAGAATGGCAACATTCATTTGTATGGTACTTTACCATTTTCAAAGCACCTTTACATCTATTATCTCATTTTATCCTTACCACAGCCTTGTGAAGTAAACAAAGCAGGAATTGTTAGTCTGATTTAAAGATGATAAAAGTGAGGCTTATAGTAGTTAGGTGAGGTGCTCATGATCACCCAGCTTGTAGGTTTCAAAGTCAGAATTTCAATGTGACTCTAAGCCCAGTGATCTGCCCATAATGGTCCTGCTATGGAGAAGCTCTAGCTCATTTGGAATAAAGAATTCAGAAGACCATTGGATTGTGTCTTTCCTCTCAATATTAATATAAAAGTTGCTACCTTGATAGGAAACTGATCTTTACCTTATAAAAAATTAGTAATGTACATCTCCAATTCTGGACTATGAATCTCCTCACAGACGCTATGAATTATGTTAGAACCAAAATAATAAGTATGTCACCAGTATTACCCTGAACTGTTTCTGGTGGTTATTTATTTTTTTTTTTGAGTAGTTTATCTTGGTTATCTCCTGAGAAGATAATTTTCAACATAGGGCCATCACCCTCTTCTAACAAAAAAAAGTTAAATATTAAGTATTTTATCAAGGGACAACATAGTAGATATGATTTGGCAAATAGAAGAGAGTACTATAGAGTAATTAGGAGAAAGACTTCCAGCTCAGCTATCCAGGGTATGAACTGACTTTATGTCATTCCCTTTTGCGCAGTCATTTTCTATTGTCCATTTCAACATAAAAAGTAAATATTAAAATAAATATGAGTTTAAAAGCTTTAAAAACATACTCAAAAAGTAGAGATGTGAAATAAAAATCCAGCCAAACAAAGACTACTACAAAATGATATATGGCGTTTTTCTTATAAATTCATAACAAAACACACAAAAACCAATCAAATTCAGTTTGAGTGCTTAGGCCAAGAGGTATCATTTTAAAAGGGAGCTTCAGATAAAAATTCCTGAAGGTTGAAGTCCTAGCTAATAGGGATAGCTTTTTTCTGAGGTGCAAATTTCATGCAATTTCACCCAGACCACGCCTCAGATGAAAGCATCTCACTGGCTTAATTCCGCTTCTCTTTGTTCTTCAAACACACTCACTCTGGAAGATTCCCAGTACTTCCTTACATCAAAATGAATAAAAATCTCCTCTAAGAGAAGAAAAAGCCTATACTACCCAAATTTGCCAAGTGTTTTCCAGCTTTAATTTTCTCCTTCCTAACTAGAGTAGAACCAGATCCTAATGTAAAGTCCACTTCAAGAATCGCCTTTAACTGTATCACTCAAGATCACTTGGAAATATTTGAAAATAATTTATCATGTGAAAATAATGATCAGCACAGAAAAGGAGGGAAGGAAGAAAAGTCATTCTTACAACTGCTCACTCCAGAATTGAGATTTTTTTCTAATATTTTCTTCAGAAAACAAAATGTTATGTGCTGTGCATGCTATAGAACTTTAGAAAATTCATTTTGGTTTAGGGCTGCACATTTTTTAAAAATCTGGTGCCATAAAGAGGGCAAGATGTCCTAGCTAAACTGTAAAAATCTTAAAGTGTGGTGATGGCCTGAGGGAAGAAGGGGTGAGGGCTGGGTGGAGGTGAGCAAAGGTTGTAAATGGAGACTTCTGTAAAAAATCTCTAGCTGCATGCTTTTAAATTAGCCTGTCAAATACTGCTTGATTTTACTGTCTAAACAGTAATTTTGACAGGAGGTAATATATCAGTATATTATACTTCAGCTATTTAAAAAAAAACAACCACACAGAATTAGTAGTAGCTTTGAAATAAGGTCATGGCTTATGAGAAGAACATTTTAAAATTCTATCTACGTATTTTAACTTCCTGTACATATCACCATGGCATTTTCAATACACAGTGTCCAAGGAAACATGACATATAAAATATTACAGAATAACCCACTTTGAGATAAGAGGATGAACCGTATAATCTCAAAATTACCTGTAGCCCATGGTTCATAATTTGGAAACTAAATGGAAAACAAGCCATTGCATACCAATTATGGAATGAGTATACTCTTTTCACATTACCTTTTTCCAGTGGGTACAATGTAGACTCTATTTGACACTGAACTGCACTTAAGCAAAAATCCATTTTGGAGTTTGTAAGCTGAAAGCATATCCATAAGAGACATGGTCATCAACAGAAAGAAGTCTTGTAAATATTTTAAAAAACTATTTTTAAATTATAGCTAGACATTTTAAACATATGAAAAAATTACAAACAAATATAGAAAAGCTAGCCAAGCCTCACCACTTTAATCTTTTGTTTCTGTTTATTATTTCTTTTCTAGGGGGAATTGCCAAGTGTTCGCTCTAAGTTCCATGTCCTTTTTCTCCTCTTTGTGGCCTGCATGTTTTTTGTCAGCCTTGTGATTCTCTTTGGTTACCATTGTTGGCTTGTCAGCAGAAACAAAACCACCTTAGGTAAGACTGGATATTAAGACTAGGAAAAAAACATATTAATGTATGTCAGAGTGACTTGTGTGTTGTTCCCAAGGAATATACAAACTTCCAGTGAAGCATTTTAGCTGCAGTGACATCCCCTTGTCTCCAAACTGAGACAAATATAAACACATTTTACCAAACTGGGGAGCCATGATGAATGAAGCTTACATAGTGGAGAAAGCATTAGTGAATGAAACCTCATGACAAACCAAAAATGACCATTGCTCTTTATAGTTCATATTGCATAGGAGCTCTCCAGATGTACAGCTTGAAAATTTTAAAAAATGTGTTCACATGAAGTGAAGGAAAGAATCAGTATAGAAGGGTATACTTGAAGGAGGAAGTAAAGGTCAATAGAAGAATCTAATGTATTGAGCACGTCCAAAAATTGAGTCCTGAGAAAGAATTCAAACCAACAAATCATTGAATATCCATAATCATCAAGGAGCTGTGTAGGGACTGTGAGAATGAGATAAATACATTAAACATTTGAGTCTCTAGAACATGAGTAGAAGAAAGGAACATTTTTTCTGTCCATTACTTTGTACTCTGGGATATTATTTGGAGAACTGTATTTCTGGTGGATTCTAGTGCAGCAATTTTTTCATCTATGGTGAAAGAAATATTTACATTGTATGTAAATTCATGCATGAGGAGTGAGAAGAAAGTGTCAAAATGTTGAATGTTTAGCTAAAAGAGATTTGAAGAAAGTTTAGTACAAAAACCACTATACTTTTAAACTCATTTGTTAATAACACTAATAGGTAAGAAAGCATTTGCACTCATTTTCTAAACCAAATATATATGTAGCACTTAGTTGCTAGGGTGGTAGATTCAGCTGCAAATAAAAAAGTACTAAAAGCTTCATGATAAAAGAGTCTGAAAACAAAGAACAAAAAGGAAATGGCCAGATGCAACCAGAGTCCATCAGTAAAAGTATTTGCTTAATGGAAGAAATGTGTGTTTAAATATAATGTGCACTGACATGGTCCAGTTCCTCATAGTATTTAAGGTGATTATAGTTCACCCCATTTCTTACACTGCAGGCTTCAGTGTGAACATATACATTTCTGAAATGATTGAAAACCAAATCAATGTTACAATCATCTCTTTATGTGCTATTGCTTTGGCCCCATACCTAAAGATGGAGATCGTTCAGTTGTTGTTCTTAAGTAGATTCAAATAAAGTACTATTCAATTTATTGTGTTGCTCTTTATATGCAGCACTACCAAATATATTCTATGCCCATGGCTGCTTAATTATTTCTTCCATTGTGTGTTTTTTCTGCCATTTTTAAAAAAGAGAATAACAAATTTACTTTGTATTAAGTGCTTAGAATGGTTTTTACTAAGTAATTTAGCAGTCCCTAAGAATGAAGGGCCTGTGCTACCACAGCACAAAGGTATAGAACCAAGTCACATTCAGGGAGAACAGTAAAATCATGATGGTCCTGACATTTATTCCCTTATTGCTTTCTTCCTCTTTTCTTCAACTCCTCTACCCTGCCACAGAGGCCTTCTGTACTCCAGTGTTTACAAGTGGCCCAAAGAAGAATGGGTTCAACCTTGGCTTCATCAAAAATATCCAGCAGGTTTTTGGAGACAACAAGAAGTTCTGGTTAATACCTATTGGGTCCAGGTAGGTAATTATTACCATAAAAGAAGTAGATGCCAGACCATACCTTGAAGTAGCAGATTCAGTTTTGATTGTAAGATGCAGCAGGTATCAGTGCAATGTAAAACTCTACTCCCTAAGTTTTTCAGATGAGATTGGGCGCTTTCAGGGTGGTATGGCCATAGACTATTCCCTAAGCTTTTCATTTCTAACTTAGCAAAGATAAATCAAGAAGTAAGGGTATGATAAAATAGACATTCTTGCAAATTTTTTGTGTCAGTGTAAACTGGTACCACTCTTTTATAAATGAAGTTGGTAGTATGTATTTTAAAATCATAAGAATATATAGGTCAATTATCTCAATAATTCCATTTCTGAGAATATATTATAAAGACAGAGACAAACTAGGCACAAAAATGATTATCATAGCATTATTTCCAGACAATAATTAGGATACAATATAAAGTCTGAAAATATGGGAATATATATATAAGAAAATTAAAAAGTCAAAAGTAATGGTTATTATGTCACAATAAGGGGGATTCTTACTATATTTTAAGTGAAAAGTAGAATTCAAAATGGTATGTACACTGTAGTATCATTTCAGTGAGACGTGGTGCACTTGTGTTAATTTGAAAGCAACCTGGAGAGCGAGGAACACATTTTTATTTCTTCATTTATTATAGCACATTATAATATTTATTTAAAACTGATATATTTAAAAATAAATCTATAAAATAATAAAAATATGTAAAAATAGGACTTCCAGTCAAGATAGAACAGTAAGTAAATGCTATGCTCTCCTCCTCCCCATGACCACATCAAAATTACAACTAGTTATAAAACAATCACCCTGGAGAAACATCTGAATACAAGCCGAATGGAACTCTTATAACTAAGGATATGAACAACAAGACACATTGAGACTGGTAGAAGGTATGGATACTGGAAATGGGTTGGTCCCACACCCATGTGTCATGATAAAGAATTGGGAAGGAGGGATATCTCAGCCATGGACATCCCACCTTTGGAGCAGGAGATCTCAGCCCTATACTGCATACCCCAGCCCAGAGCACAAGTGCTGAGAAGAGGAGTCCCTACAACATCTGACTGTGAGAATCAGTGTGGATTCTGTTTTGGTGAGATGGAGGGTTGCTATAGACCCAGGCATCCTCTTAAAAGGCCTGAGTACAGACTCACTCAACTACAAAAACTCCCCCTAGCTTCAGTGAAGAGACAGCAGCTCAAAAGGCACCAGGGACACATGGGGAGAAACTGAATTGTGTGGTTTCAGGGCAACAGCTATTTGTTGAGCCCTATTCGAATATAGCCTGTAGGCACAGTGTCACCTAATGTGGCAAAACAAATAAATATACAAGTCAAAGAAGTGCTGAGAGTCCCAAATAGGATGAACCCAAAGAGGCCCACACCATGACACATCATAGCTAAAATGGCAAAGGATAAAGACAAAGAAAGAATTGCAAAAGTAGCAAGAGAAAGATAGTTACCTATAAGGGAACTCCTATAGAATTGTCAGCTGATTTCTCAACAGAAATTTTGTAGGCCAGAAGGGATTGGCATAAAATATTCAAACTGATGAAAAGCAGGATACTAAGACTATGATACTCAGCAAGGCTATTGTTTAGAACCAGAAGCAGATAAAGAGCTTTCAAGACAAGTAAAATCAGTATTACAAAAAGTGTTATAGAGACATCTGTAAGAAGAGGAAGCAAAAAAGATTATAAATATGAATAATAAAATGATAATAACTATATATCTATTAATAATCACTTTACATGTAAGTGGATTAAAAGCTCCAGTCAAAAGACATAGAGTAGCTAAATGAATAAGAAAACAAGACATAAAAAACAAACAAACAAGAAAACAAGACCCAGGGGACTTCCAGTTAAGATGGAGGTATAGGTAAACATGACTTGCCTCCTTGCACACCACTTCAAAACTACAACTAAATTATAGGACAATCATCACTCAGAACTGTCAGAAATAAAGTTTAATGGAAGTCTGACAACTCCAGAATTAAAGAAACCACATCCATCCAGGCTGGTAGGTGGGGTGTACACAAGGATGGTTGGTCCCACATCCATGTGTGGTGGGTAAAAATTTGGGAGGCATATCTCAGGAGTGAGGTATCCCAGCACCACACCAGCCCCCCAGCGGAGTTCCAGTGCCAGGAAGATAAGTCCCCATAACTTCTGGCTGCAAAAACTAACTGGGATTGAGTCAGTAGAAGAAACTTCTGGAGTCTCAAGGAGTTCCTTTTAAAGAACCCATACATGGACTTACCTAGACTCACTCCCTCTGAGCTCCAGCACCAGGGTAGCAGCTTGAAAGGCACCTGTGGCATACAGGGAGGAACTGGAGTGTCTGGCATCAAGGTGAGAGCTGGGGGACAGCTTTCACCCAAAGACAAAGGTGGGCAGAGCCACAGAACTGGCAGGTGGGTGCCATATCTGAGACTCCATCAACCTGGGTAACACTGTTTGCCCAGCCTGGTGATTCCCTGAGACTCCACCCCACTCAACTTATAGCTGTCAACAATGACTTTCCCATATGAATGGCTGGTTTTGGCTCAAGCTTCACAACCTATTAAATCATTTCAAACAAGCAATGGCTAGCCTCAGTGAATCACTAGCCCCTGTACCCTTTGCTAGGTAGTCCCAGGCCCAGCACTAGCAGCAGGAGCCTAGATTCACAGCTTGGCTTCACCTGCAATTCCCAAGACCAGCACAAGTAGTAGCCATCTCAGATTGCTCTATAGCTCAGGCAGCCTGGTCCCAGGCACAACACAGGTGGGGGTTGACATTAGTTTGCAACACCTCGAAAGTCCCAAGGCCTAAACAGCTGATCCTCCAAAGAGGGTGGAGGTTGGTGGTCAGCAGTCATAGCCAAACCCTACAACTGACTGGCCTGGGTAAGTCCCTCCTATTTACCTGCCAACAGCAACCAAGCCTCAACTACAAGAGAAGGGTGTATTCAGCCCACACGAAGAACACACCTCCAAGTGCCCAGCTTTGGTGATAGGGGAGGCTGTGTCACTGGACTCTATAGGACATCTACTACATTAGGCCACACTACCAAGATGAGGAGTAATAGAAGCTCTACCTACTACATAGAAACAAACACATGGAGCCTTCCAAAATGAGGAGACAAAGAAACATGGCCCAAATGAAAGAACAGATCAAAACTCCAGAAAAAGAACGAAGTAATGAGAAGATAGCCAACCTATCAGGTGCAGAGTTCAAACCACTGGTAATCAGGATGCTCAAAGAAATAGTTGACTATGTTCGAAAAGTAGAGGAAGAAGTGAAGGCTGTGCAAAGTGAAATAAAGGAAAATGTACAGGGAACCAACAGTGATGGGAAGGAAACCGGAACTTAAATCAATGGTTTGGACCAGAAGGAAGAAATAAACATTCAACCAGAATTGAATGAAGAAACAAGAATTTAAAAAAAAAAAAAAAAGAGGAGAGGCTTAGGAACCTCTGGGACAACCTGAAACGTTCTAATATCCTAATTATAGGGGTGCCAGAAGGAGAAGGGCAACAGCAAGAAATTGAAAACTTATTTGAACAAGTAATGAAGGAAAACTTCCCCAAACTGGTGAAGGAAATAGACTTCCAGGAAGTCCAGGAAGCTCAGAGAGTCCCAAAGAAATGGGACCCAAGGGAGAACACACCAAGACACATCATAATTAAATTCCCAAGATTAAAGATAAAGAGAACATCCTAAAAGCAGCAAGAGAAAAGGAGACAGTTACCTACAAAGGAGTTCCCATCAGACTATCAGCTGAATTCTCAAAAGAAACCTTACAGGGAAGAAATATTCAAAGTGATGAAAAGCAAGGACCTACAATCTAGATTACTCTAAACAGCAAAGCTATCATTTAGAATGGAAGGGTAGATAAAGTATTTCCCAGACAAGGTAAAGCTAAAGGAGTTCATCATCATCAAGCCCTTATTATATGAAATGTTAAAGGGATTTATCTAAGAAAAAGAAGAAGATCAAAACTATGAACATTAAAAAAGCATCAAATTCACAACTATCAATAACTGAATCTAAAATTTAAAAAAACCCCACACAACTAAGCAAACAAACAGAACAGGAACAGAATCATAGGTATGGAGATAATTTGAAGGGTTATCAGCTGGGAGGAGGAATGGGGAGAATAGGGGGAAATGTGCAGGTATTAAAAAGCATAATGGGTAGGTACGAAATAGACAGAGAGATATAAGAATAATATAGGAAATGGAGAAGCCAAAGAACTTAAATGCACGACCCATGGACATGAACTAAGGGGGGGATTGCTGAAAGGAAATGGGTACCAGGTGGAGGGGGGCACAGGGGGAAAATTGGGACAACTGTAATAATATAATAATATAATATATTCTCTAAAAAAAGAATAAGCTCAAAATTGATAAAAGACTTACTTGTAAAATGTGAAACCATAAAACTCATAGAAGAAAACATAAGCAGTAAAATCTCTCACATTTATCTTAGAAATATTTTTCTGTTATATCTCCTCAGGCAAGGGAAACAAAGAAAAAATAAACAAATGAGACTACCTCAAACTAACAAGGTTTTGCACCGCAAAGGAAACTATCAACAAAATGAAAAAATAGCTCACTAAATGGGAGAACATCTTTGTCAATGATACCTCTGATAAGGGGTTAATATCCATAGTTTACAAGGAACTCACACAATTCAACACCACAAACAAACACACAAACAAACAAACAATCGTATTAAAGAGTGGGCAGAGAATCTGAAATCTGTTCATTTTCAGTCAAACACATTTGTGAATAGGATAAAAGGTATATGTAATATCAAATGAATAATGTAAAAGTCACTCCTACAAATTTGGAATGCATTCAGATATATAGACTCAAATGTTCAAATTATAACCCACTTTAGTTATGGCCAGCTCAGTTTCTTCCAAAGCATCCCATCTGCTAGTGGCCATAGATCAACCTAGGAAGTAGTCCTAGGTTACTGTAGATATCCATAAGGTGGATTCCACATGTGGATAATTGCACCCAGCATCTGCACTCTTAGGGATGACTCATTCTGTCTCTTTTCCCCAATTCTTGATAACCTTTGCACTATACAGGCCAAAGAGTGGGGCTTTCAGACATTATTATCTGACACCAATTTATAGCAACTTAACTCCACTGTATTCAGTGATACTGAATCTGGTAATTCTCTTTGAAAATTTAGAAGCAAACAATAAGATGGATGTAATTAGGATCATCACCATTAAATAATATTTATGAAGCATTTTATGCACCCATAAGATGTCTTTGTTTGTAAGCAACTCTTTAACTTGTGTCTCACAATGCCCAAACTGATGCAGACAAAGAAATAAGATATAGAAATTGAAAGCAATATAGCAGCTAAATGATGCTATTGTAAGATTCGATTTCCTATGGCTCTAGCCAATAAGCTAAATCATTTAAATGTTGCTAAGAAGTTTCTTATTTCTACTATGGTTATTACCTTACAAAAAGTCTATGTCAGTTGCAAGAGCTCACTGCCTTCCTTTTCCCTCCAGCCCTGGTGATGGACATTCCTTCCCTATGAGGTCTATGAATGAGTCACAGAATCCACTGCTAGCAAATGAAGAGGCCTGGGAAGACAATGATGATCACAGCCGAGGTAAGTAGGCTCAAAAGTAAGGAATTCTTTTCTCCTCCCAGCAGTCCAAGCACTAGTAAAGACTATATTAATACAACCAATGTAGTGTAGTGAGCAAATTGTGTCCAGAAAGATTATATAACATGTCAACCTAATAAGTTCTCTTTGGATGGACAAGGACAAGTATGGGCAGATTGTTTAGCAAATATGATTGACTTAGGCAGGATGAGATGGCAGCTTGGCAGGTTCATTACGAGCTTTGTGATACCATGATTAATTAGATAAATCAGAAAATATAATAAACAGTGCTATGCATTTTGTAAACAGTTCTGCCAGTTGTTCACTCATTGTCCTTTGTCCTTAGTTAATTCAATCAGTGGGCTACAGCTTACGTTTTTGTACTCTGATTCATTCACTTTGCTTATATTTTCTGTAAAATCTCATTCCCATTCTCTTTTAGAATGGGTTGAATATGTGAAAAAAAAAAGACAGCATTGCAGGCAAGGCTACACACACATGTTGTCTACTTTTCTAAAAGGCAGAGGAACAAAGGAAAAACAAGGAAGCAGAACTTTGCCCTTCCACCTTTCTCCCACCAGATTATTGGGTCATCTTGAAATATTTTTGTGAAGAGCTGAAAATTGAGTTCTTATACCATGTACCCCCATTGCCACCTATTCTTTGTCTTCATGTAATGCTGTGATTACTACTGTGTCTCCAGCATTTGTTTTTGTTGCTAATAATAGGCTTCAGAGAGTAATTTTTAGTGGCTGGTCCCAATAATGCAGTAGCTGACAGAAATTTTGAGTAATAACTTGAGGCTCATTAAGGTGGGGAACAGAGCTCAGAAACAAGCCTTTCTAAATATTCATACAGTTAGATTATCTGGGCCTACATTCTGTACCTGAAAGTCCAGTTTTAGAGTGAGTTATGTTAATAAGACTAATCAAGGCAAAACAGTCCCAAATCCATAGTTACAAAAGGAAAGAGTTCTTGCCCAGCCCAAAGAAGTTGTAACAAAAGAAACTCCCTTACCTTCCTTCTCTTGTTGACTCTTTATTGAAAAACTGACTGTGTTTTGATAACCTTCTTTCAGCTATCAGTCTTTTTTAACAGACTTTTATTTATAGCAGTTTCTAGTAAAGGTGTAACTTTTATTTTGGTATTAAAAAACCCAAACTAATAGAAATCAGAGACTTATAATGTTTTAACCTAGTTTAAAATATCTCCATAATGGAAAAAACAATTCATATCTGAGCTTGGTGTTGGCAAGCAGAATACTTTTAAGTCTAGATGTAGCACTACATTATAAAGAGATTATTTTCTTAAGCCAGTTTTCAATTCCAGACTTGATAAAAAATATTCAACCATAAAATAGGTATAGCATCACCAGTGGGAGCAGGACAGGGGAACATAACGCAGCTGGGGGAAAATGGGCAGCAGAGATTTCATACCTGGGGCAGTAGAGGACACAGGCTTTGTTGATTGGGTATGAGTTCGCTGAGCTGAAGAGCTGTTTTTCAGGCATCTCCTGCCAATGAAAGCTCCAGAGGGGGACTCACTCAGCCTGTGTCACCATGACCAAGGCCAGTAGCAAGGGCAGGAATATCTGTGGTAAGCTAGATGGCATCAAACTGAACCTGAGCCTCAACGACTTGAATGAGGTCTCAGTCAAGGAGCTGGCTGCCGTTCCAAAGTCTGCCACACTGGATCTGTCCTGCAATAAGCTGGCTACTCTACCATTGGATTTCTGTGGCCTCACACACCTGCTGGGCTAGACTTGAGTAACAACAAACTGCAGCAACTGCTGCAGACCTTGGCCCTCTGGTCAACCTCCAGCACCATGTCTTCAACAGTAAGTTGGTTACCCTGCCTGGCAGCTTTGCTCAGCTCAAGAGCCTGAAGTGGCTGGACTGAAGGACAACCCCTTGGATCCTGTCCTGGCTAAAGTGGCAGGGGATTGCTTGCATGAGAAGCAGTTTAAACTGTGTGGCAACAAGATGTTACATACAGCACGTGAAGGTGGTACAAGTGGATTAGCAGTGAGAGAGGCAGTGGTAGCTAGAAGTATTAGAATGAGAGGCTGAGAAGAGGCTGGAGGCCAAGCAGTGAGCTGAGGAGGCTCAGGAGTGGGAACTGAGGAAGCGGGAGAGGAGGACGAGAAGGAACACTGGAGAAAGAAGTATGATGCTCTTAAATCATCCAAACAGGAGTAGAATAAACCTAAGAAGGAAACAAATCAGGCCCTGAAATCCAAGTCTGGCTCTCTGTCCTGTAAGCCCACCCCAGAAACACAAGCGATCCTGGGCTGTGCTGAAGCTACCGCTGTGCATTGCCAGTGGGCTGGTGGTATGGAGGGGCAGTGACAGACATGCATCAGCCTCTCTACATCAGCGGATCACCATTTATGATAATGCATTCTGCCTCTAAGACAGGGAGTCAAGGCAGCTCTACCTAATACATAGAAACAAACACAGGGAGGCTGCCAAAATGAGGAGAGAAAGAAATATGGCCCAAATGAAAGAACAGAGCAAAACTCCAGAAAAAGAACTAAACAGAATGGAAATAAGCAATCTATGAGATGCAGAGTTTAAAACACTGGTTATTAGGATGCTCAAGGACTTCATTGGGTACTTCAATTGCATAAAAAAAGACCCAGGCAGAAATAAAGTTTACATGAAGTGAAATAAGGAAAAATGTACAAGGAATCAACAGTGAAGTGCATGAAGCTGAGAATCAAATCAATGATGTAGAACACAAAGAAGAAAAAAATTTCAATCAGAGCAACAAGAAGAAAAAAAGAAAAAATCGACAATAGGGTAAGGAGTTTCTGGTACAACTTCAAATGTACCAACATTTGAATCTCCTTGACAGAAGGAGAAGAGAAAGCAAGAAATTGAAACCTTATTTGAAAAAATAATGAAAGAAAACTTTCCTAACTTGGTGAAGGAAATAGACATAGAAGTCCAGGAAGCACAGAGAGTCCCAAACAAATTGGACCCAAGAGAAACACACCAAGACACATCATCATTAAAATGCCAAAGGTTAAAGATAAACAGAGACTCTTAAAAGCAGCAAGAGAAAAGCAGAAAGTTACCTACAAAGGAGATCCCATAAGACAATCAGCTGATTTCTCAAAAGAAACTTTGCAGACTAGAAGGGACTGGCAAGAAGTATTCAAAGTGATGAAAAGCAAGGACCTACAACCTAGATTACTCTAAACAGCAAAGCTATCATTTAGAATGGAAGGACAGATAAAGTTCTTCTCACACAGGGTAAAGCTAAAGGAGTTCATCACCACCAAGCCGTTACTACAGGAAATGTTAAAGGGACTTATCTAAGAAAAAGAAGATCAAAACCATGAACATTAAAAAGGCAACAAATTCACAATTATCAACTAATGAATCTTTAAAAAAAAAAAAACAATCTAAGCAAACAACCAGAACAGGAATAGAGTCATAGATATGGAGATAATATGGAGGGTTATTAGCTGGTATTGGGGGGCGGAGAATGGGGAAATGGTGCAAGTATTAAGAAGCATAGTTGGCCTGGGTGGTGTGGATTTAAAGATCAGTGGATTGAGTGCTGGCCTGCGAACCAAAGGTTCACTATTTCCAGTCAGGGCACACACCTGGGTTGCAGGCCCGGTCCCCAGTAGGGAGCACACAAAAGGCAACCACACATTGATGTTTCTCTCCCTCTCTCTCTCTAAATAAATAAATAATAAAAATCTTTTTTTTTTTAAAGAAGCATAACTGTTAGGAACAAAGACACAGAGGGAAATTAAGATAGTATAGGAAATGGAGAAGCCAAAGAACTCACAAGCACAGCCCATGGACATGTGCTGGGGTGGGGGGAATGCTGGAGGGAAGGGGAGTACTGGGCAGAGGGGGGCAAAGGGGGAAACATTGGGCCAACTGTAATAGCGTAATCAATAAAATATTTTTTAAAAATGAAAATATTCAAAATATTCTGCATTTGTCTTCTAATTGTGCAGAGCTGATGTTTTGAACGATCTGCATTTTTTCAATTTAGCCCTCACCAGGTGATGACTCTACCATTGCAGCCTTAGTTTAATCTCCCTTCAGAGTGAAACCATGAAGGAAGGTGATAATTGGGTTTTTAAGTTCAGGCTTTAATGTCTGCAAGTCTGATTTTAATTCAAATAATTACTGGAAGGAAGGATCCTGTGCCAAACAGGTGTGTGGATTAAAGTGGTAAAGAGTAAAAGAAACCCATTTAGCAGAATACTAAAAGCCAATTTCTGAATGGTGCATTGCCCACCCATATCTACAAAACTTTGAGACAGCCAACCATCAGCAAGAAGTAGCGAGGCAAATAATGCATTGCATTTACAGAATTGCCTTTCATACTTTATTAATTGCCTTCATGGTATAAATGTGTAAGTGAGGTGAGATGTATGCTAAAGCATTTGCTGATACCTTTTCTCTTTGAATTATTTGACAAAGATGAATTGTTCTCTGTCCTTCATTGAAGAGCTTGTCCATTGCAGCTACTTTCTGTTCAGACTTAAGGACAAGAATACCCTAAGTCTGAGAGTTCAGACAAGACAGAATGTTGTACCCCATATTGAAGCTATGATTCCAAAGACATTCTCAGAGCCACTTTTACTTTTCCACTCTTCCTGGAAGAAAGCAACCTTGTCTCGGGAATCTACCTAGTTAACTGTGGCATGGGTAACCTACCCTGGGTAGCCTCTATCTTCTGAAATCCAGAACTCACACTTTCAGGAGCACCGTGAATGGCACATTGATTTCATAAAGTAGAATGTACTAAGCAGAAACTGTCAGGGCCAACCACTGTCAACTTTTTTTTTTTTTAACTTCAAAGTGCCAAGTACATTTTATGCAGGGAGTATAAAGAAAGTGACTATCTGCACATTAAGCAAGCTGATTCAGAGTATACTTCGCTCACCCAAAATGCAGGAGGTTAGAAACAAAACATTTGTACTACAAATAATGTTGGCTGTTAATTTCAGAGCCTCTTATTTTCTACATACCTCACTCCTTTAAAAAAAAAAAAAAAACACCAACAGCCCTGGCTGGTGTGCTCAGTGGATTGAGTGCCAGCCTGTGAACTGAAAGGTCATTAGTTCAATTCACATGTCTGGGTTGTGGGCCAGGTTCCCAGTTGGGGGCGAGTGAGAGGCAACCCATCGATGTTTTTCTTGCACATCCATGTTTCTCTCCCTTTGTTTATTCCTCCCTTCCCCACTCTCTAAAAAATAAATAAATAAAATCTTTTTAAAAACCCACACAAGCACAAAGTCCTGTAAGAGCTACCTCAATTATGTCCAGTAGAATAACAGCAAGACAGGGTAATTTCGTGAGTAGCAAGTCCCAAAACATTCCATTAAAAGCCACATGATGTTGAGCTGTCATCACAGCTATTTAAGTCAAATACCAGGCAGTATTATAGATCAGATAATGCTGGTAAATGAAATAATCTTAGTTCATAGTACAGCAGGCTGACTACTCTTGGAATGTGAATGTCTGGGCTGGTTACAAATACTTCAGCATAGCAAACCAGTCTTTAGAGATTTGCAGATGTCTGCTGCCTCTAGGGATTGAAAAAGAAGGAAATATTCCAGTGAATAAATACCCACCCATACAAGAGAAAAGGACATTTAATCGTCTTCACTTTTTTCCTATTTGTTTTTTGTATTTTTATTTTTTAGATTTTTATTGTCATTATATTACAGTTGTCCCAATTTTCCCCCTTTTGCCCTCCTCCACACAGCCTATCCCCCACTCCCACAGTCAATTTTCAACTATTGTCCATGTTTCTGGGTCATTCATACATGCTATGAAACTAGTCCCTTCCCTTTCTATCTTTTTCCCACTTCCCCATCCACTCTGGTTACTGTCAGTCTAGTCCATGTTTCCATGTCTCTGGTTCTATTTTGCTCACTTGTTTGTTTTGTTGATTAGTTTTCACTAATCAATAGGTGAGATCATATGGTGTCTGTCTTTCACCACCTGGGTTATTTCACTTAGCATAATGTTCCCCAGTTCCAACCATGCTGTCATGAAGGGTAGGAGATCCTTCTTTCTTTCTGCTGCGTAGTGTTCCATTGTGTAAATGTACTACAGGTTTTTGATCCATTCATTTACTGATGGGCACTTAGGCTGTTTCTAGCACTTGGGTATTGTAAATTGTGCTGCTATGAACATAGGGGTACATAGGTTCTTTTGAATTTGTGAGTCAAGATTCTTAGGGTATATTCCCAACAGCAGAATCTCTAGGTCAAAAGGCAGTTCCATCTTTAGTTTTCTGAGGAAATTCCATACTGTTTTCCACAGTGGCTGCACCAGTCTGCATTCCCACCAACAATTTACTAGGGTTCCCTTTTTTCCACAACCTCACCAGCACTTGTTTGTTGAATGATAGCCATTCTGACAAGTGATCACCTTCACTTTTCAACCTTGCAGATTATCCAGAAGGTTCATCATCTCTTGCGGTGGAAACAGAAACGTAGCAGTTTTCACATTTCCTGCATCTCTAAGACAGGTCAGTATTCTGAGGGACGCACACAAAATGCAACCTGGAGTGCTAAGAGGCAGCTTTGGGAGGTTACTAGGAAAGGAGTAAGTTGTCACTCTGGTAAACAAGATGTTAAATTCGTCACTCTTGTATTATTCACATACATAGGAGTTCTAGACATAATTTCCCTTATGTACTGAAAAAAGATACCTTTATTCTCTGTTAACTCACATTTGTCATTTGGACTAAGAGACCCACAGGATATCCAGAAACTGCCAAACAGCCCATTCAAGTTATGTGCTTTCATACTACGAATTATAAATCTGGTTCTGGTGCATTTTAGGCCTCTAAAATGATACACATTACAAATAAGTTCTTTTTTTTCACTCTATTTTTATTGTTGACACTATTACAGATGTCCCTATCCCTCACCCCCTGCCTTCCTCCACCTTCCCTGTGGCTATCACCACACTGTTGTCTGTGTCTGTGGGTCATGCATGTATGTTCTTTGACTAATCCTTTCACCTTCTTTCATCCAGTCCCCCCTCACCACCTCTCCTCTGACAACTGTCAGCCTGCTCCATGAATCCATGACTCTGTCTCTATTTTGTTCATCAGGTTATTTTGTTCATTAGATTCCTGGCTCTTTCTGCCTGAGTCCATTATGTCAGCTAACAACCTACTCTTAACCCACTCACAGGCAAAAGCACCATCCTTATACTCTAATTCTCCCCAAATGCTACTAATTTGTTCAGCAGTGTCAGGCAGCCTTATCCATGAGATTGTTTTTTGTCTAGTATAAAGCTAAAGAGCCTTCTGTTTGCAACATTCACAAGGAAATAATCCAGTGTAATTCAATATTAAATGGAGATTTTTTTTTTAGTGATAGAAATACCAGTGAGTTCAAAGCTCTGATCTGATAAGACTTCCAATTTTATTCCCATGAAAAAGCTAGCAATTATTCAGAAGCCTATCAATCTGTTTATGGGCTCTTGGGTCTTCACTTTTTTCCCTTATAAAACCCTGCTGTGTGCCAGTATAGCTACTGTATAAGGTCTTATATTTGCCGGCCACTTTGCTATTGTATTTGATGTATGTTATCTCATTTAATCCTCATAGCAACTCTGTGCGGTGAATGTTATTATTCCCATTTTACTTATGAGAAAACTGTAGTCCAGAGATGTCAAATCATCTTTCCAGCTAGTCAGTGGATAAGCTGAAATTGCAAACCAGGTCTGTCTGACCTCAGAGCATGCTCTTACCACTATGGCACTACATTTAAAAACATAACTTCAACTATTTACCAGTACCTTCACTTACAATCAAAGGTCAAAAAGAGAGAAGAATTAAATGTCCTTTTATCCAAAGCACTGATGAAATGTTTGATATTTAAGTGAGACAACTAGTATGGTAGCATTTGGATTTCAGTTATCCATGGCATGTACCTCTCACATTTTTTTTTTATTTTTGCATCTTACTATGAATATTCTATGAAGCACTAGTATTTTGACATATTAACAGATGTTAAAGGGGAATGAAGTTCTTTGCTGAAATAAATTTAGGGAACCCTGTGTTGGCAAAATTAGAGAGTTGTCTTTACCATAGGGATTCTCAAGACTTCTACTATGCAAATGAGTTTTGTACTCTCCAAAAGGAGGATTTAGTAGCCCTCTGAACCTATTTGACTAGACTCATTTTATTTTGTGCAGATCATGGAACCTTGTCTTTACTGTAGTACTTATCAGGAGTTACAATATACTAAGGAACTTTGTCAGTCCCCCAAAGTGTAATAAATCTTGCCAAACTTATATTACCATATAGCTCTTTTTTTAGAATATCTTGAGTGAATGTTAAATCATAAAGTATATTTTGATATAATTTCCTTGATAAGAAAAATTGCTTTTACGCAATGCTTTTCCCAGAGCACTCTGTTAAAATAAATTAAATGATTAATTTTGTAGGAAGAATGGGAGAATCATTTCAAAACTTAATCAAGATATGAAGAATTTCTAATGTGTATAGATAATTAATATAGTGATGTTTATAAAAGCTTCAAATAGAAAACAACCTAAATGTCCACCAATAAAAAAAATGGTTGAATAAATTATGTATGCCTATGTCTAAGCTATTACATTCTTTATATGTATTTCTTTTATTTTTAGAAGTTTTAAAAATTAAAATATGAAGAATAAAATGATTATTCATCTATTTATGACTTAGGATTAACAAATGCTAACAGTTCTTTTCTCAAATTTTTATACATAAAAATTATTGCGATGTTTATACACAAAAAGCACAGATTCTAGATGATATTTTCTTTCAGAATGAAAATATAAACTTGGAGAAACATTTGTAAAACATATAAAACAAAATTTAACATCATAATTTACAAATATCTTGGAAATCAGTAAAAAAAGAAAAACACAACCGTTAGAAATGGGCAAAGGTACAATTGACAAAATAAAAGTAAAAATGAAAAACATAAAATTTGTTCAACTTCACTAGAAAGCAATACAAAATAAAATTACCCCCCAAAACAATTTTTGTCTATGAGGCAATCAATTAGTATAAATTAGAGTACATAGTGTTGGCAAGGACATGTGGAAAACAGGTGATTTTTAAATTTTTATTGAACTTACTGGGGTTACATTAGTTAATGAAATTATTTAGGTTTCAAGGTTACAATTTTATCTGTATATTGTATTACGTGTTCAGCACCCAAATTTACCACTTATCCCCCCTTTACCCTCCTGTACCTCCCCCATCCCCCTTTTCCTCTGTTAATCACCATACTGATGTCTGTGTCTGAGGATTTTTTGCTTAATCCCTTCACCTATTTCACTGAGCCCCGCCCCCCATCAATTGCCCCTTCAACAGCTGTTAGTCTATTCTCTGTATCTATGAGTCTGTTTCTGTTTTGCTTGTTTATTTTATTCACTAGATTCCACATATAAGTGAAATCATGTGATATTTGTCTTTCTCTGACTGGCTTATTTCAGTTAGCATAATACTCTCCAGGTCCATCCATGCTGTTGCAAAAGGTGAGATTTTCTTCTTTTTTAGAGCTCGGTAGAATTCCATTGTGTAAATGTACCACAGCTTTTTTTATCTACTTGTCTACTGAAAGCACTTGGGTTGCTTTCAAATCTTGGTGATTGTAAATAATGCTGCAATGAACATAGGGGTGCATATATTCTTTTGAATTAGGGTTTTGGGTTTCTTTGGATATATTTCCAGAAGTGGAATTATTGGGTCATAAGGCAGTTCCATGTATAATTTTCTGAGTAAAATATGTACTGTTTTCCACAGTGGCTGCCCCAATCTGCATTTCCACCAACAGTGCAGAAGGGTTTCCCTTTCTCCACATCCTTGCCAGCACTTGTTGTTTGATTTATTGATGAAGCTATTCTTACAGGTGTGAGGTCATATCTCATTGTTGTTTTAATTTGCCTTTCTCTGATGATTAGTGATACTGAGCATCTTTTCATATGCCTATTGGGCCATCTGTATGTCCTCTTTGAAGAAGTGACTATTCAGGTCCTTTGCCTATAAGCCAATTATCAAGAGTCAAGGGTAGGTGCAAGGGAAGTCAGTTTATTTCAGAGCCAGAAGCCTGAGAAGAGGGAAGACTAATTTCACAAAGACCATCTTAACATCTCAGTGCAGGCAGGGGTTTTTGCAAGGTTTTCTTAGACCCCGCCGAGGAAATAAGCCGCCAATTAGTCATGAAAACAGGCAAGTGAGCTTTATTTTGGAGGTTTATGCTCCCAGGTGAGGGTTTTTCCACCTGCCCAAACAGAGAAAGGACTAAGACCACAAGGGAGAAGGGAAGGGGTGGGGGTTTTATGTGGTTTGACTCCCTGTAGGAGCTAAGGATTGGTTCTTGGTGAACAAAGTGGCCACATATCATTGGTGGTTCCTGGTCTGATGTTAGCCACCTCTTCCGGGTCAGAGTTCAGTCACCATATTACTTGTAGTCCAAATGGCAGCCATATTACTTGTCAGCCATATTTGTAGTCCAAAAAAAAAAAAACGCTATCATTGTAATTAGGTTTCCAGTTGTCTTACCCCGCCCATCCTGACATCCAACCTATTTCTGATAGGATAAGGGGCAAGGGGCTGCGTTGTCTGATCTGGCTACTTCCAGCTGGTCAAAAGGGCATAGAGGGAAGGGGCGAGTAGGTTTGGGCCTGAAGCAGCCTCTGGTTGAAGGTAACCCAGGATGCTTCACGAATTCTTTCCTGGAGAAACTTCAGGAAACAGGGGCCAAATGTTAATAGTATGCAGATTACTATGACTGGCCCTAGGACCGGGGCCAGGGTGGTAAAGAGTAAAGAATGTCACCACAGGGTTATTGTTTTGAGAGAGGTAGGGTCTTGGCGTAATTTGTCCCTGAGATCCTGTAGGGTATTAACATTTCCTTCTACTAGGCCACTTTCATTTATATAGAAGCAGCACTGTCCCTGCAAAAAGACATGTTCCTCCTTTTTCTGCTGTTAGTAGGTTCAGGGCTCTGCGATTCTGGAGGGCAACCTGGGCTACCGAGGTTATCTGTCTCTGCAAAGATGCTAGAGAGGTGGCAGAGGCATCAAGGGCCTGCTCCAACTCAGCTTGTAGTTAGCGAGTGGCTTGGAGACTGTGTGCTAACCCAGCGCTGCCTACCCCAGCTGCTGCCAGCGTTGTGGTGAAGGTTAGACCTGCTAGTATAGGCAGGAAGACTGGCCCGTTTCTTTTTATGCCTGGTTAGTTTGTCCCTGAGCTCTCCCTCTCCATAAAGCATAAGCTGTGGGGTCAGCATGGTCAGGAAGCAGGGGGAGGTAGAGGTGGAGTTAATGGTCCACAGCAGCATTCCATTGCACCAAAAAATGTACCAGGGGGGCTGGTGATGGTTCCTGATATGAGTATAGTTTGGTTGCAGGAGGAGGTGCTATCAGTGGCATAACATACGTGCAGCTGGCGTCCAGGATCTTAGAGAAGAAGTACATCCTTTAAGAAGAAAGGTGTGGGGGAGTCAGTGACATTGGGAG